GTGGGCTACATGGTCTGTCTCTGTCTTGAGACAGTTGTGGGTCTCACTACATGGTGAGTCTCTGTCTTAAGACAGTAGTGGGCTACATGGTCTGTCTCTGTCTTGAGACAATAGTGTGTCTCACTACATTGTCTGTCTTAAGACAGTATTGGCTCTCACTAAATAATCAGTCTATTTCTTCAGAGTTTAGTGGGCCTCACTTTTCTAAACCACCCACCCAGCTAGATCCTGTGTTTATAATACGGTGATAAACAGTGATATATATATATATATATATATATATATATATATATATATATATATATATATATATATATATATATATATATATAGTACAATTTAAACTTCAGCTGCTTCAAGTACAGGTTTATTGTACTGAATAATATAGCACAGTTTTAATATAATGATACGTGCAGACAAGTTTAAAACTTAAATGGACGAAGTATACAACTGTTAGATACAACCCTATACGTTTAATAATTTTTTGGCCCAAGTATTCAACGCTTCGATACATCCTTTCAAGATTTAACACTTAGAAGGCCGAAGTGTAAGGCGATGTGACACATCACGTACAAACTTAACTCTTAGATAGCTGCATTTTTCAATGCTTTGAGAGTATCCAATGTAACATGACTGATACAACTAGTTTCTTATTTAGTTACAAAGCTTTATCAGCGAGGAAATATTTATTAATCTTTTCTCCTGAACATCTTTGTAATGAGCTTCTATTGATAGCTTGTTTCATGTCTATTTTATACCGTCCTGCCTGTTTTACATACCTCGTAAAATACCGTGCGAAGTTTCCTTGGTTCGTGTCCGCGCTATCAAACAAGTACTCCTATGTTCTCAGAAACTGTATATATAACAGGAACCCTCATTGTACTCAAGACCTTCTGTAAATTGAAGACCTTCTGTGTACCAAGGACCTTCTGTGTACCCAGGACCTTCTGACTACTTAGGACCTGACGACCAAGGACCTTCTGACGACTCACTTAATGTCCTCTAGGTAAAGTGTGCTGGTCCTACCGACATGACCTATTGTAAAAGATGGCCAGCCCCCCCCCCCCCCGCCCATCCACCACCCACCCTATGCAAGCTGTACTCCCCAATACACGATCATCCCCTTCGATTAAATCACCATAAAAAAAACTCCCCTTCTGGGCGTCGTTAGTGTGTAAAAACGGATCTCTTGTTGGGTTAATACAGGCTATTGTCTACGGTTCAACTTTAAAGCCTTTCTAAACGAATCGATTTTCAAAAGGTTTTTTTTTTAATTATTTAAAAAAAAAGTGTATGCTCTGTTACGGAGTCTCCTATTGTGTTGGTCTTATACGAAACATGGGGAGTCACTTGTTTTATTTATAAGTCACTAATTGAGGCTTGTGGGAGGGATTCGTTGTTTAGAGTTGTCAATCAAACAATATATGGGATGGGGTGGGGGAGGGGGTGCTAGAGACCCCTGACAGGAGGACATACACATGCATTCAAGTACTGCTGTGTGTAGAATGTCTGTATGTATGCTGCTGAGTGAATAATGTCCTCTCGTCTTTGCTGATTAGCAAATAATGTCCTCTCGTGTATGCTGCGTAGTGTATAAGGTCCTCGTGTATGCTGCTTAGTGAATAATGTCCTCTGGTGTATGTTGCTTACTAACTTGTGTACTATTGCATGAATTGTCATGACATTTGTAGCGTTCACTCAACATAATGTAAAATGTCCTAACATTTTAAACTGCCCTTAGTATAACTCGTGATAAGACAAGTCCCCAGATTTCAAATAGATTCCCATCAGAGTTTTAAAATGTCCTACAATAACCTCCCATTAAAGTTTGAAAAGCCCCAGGATTTAAAATGTCCTCCGCTAAAAATTTGAAAAGCCCGAATGTTGAACATGTCCCCCCTAACGTTCGTGCCCCATCTCCCGTAGACAAGCTCACGTCGAAACAAAACCTCCAACAGTTTAAATTTTCCGACTGCTCTGTTTGAGTCACGGAATTAAATTTCTTCGAGTGGGCGCCACGATTCCGGCACCCCCAACACTTTACTCAAACACCGTTCTGTCTAATACTTTCCTCAAATCTTTCTGACAAAAATTGTCCGACATAAATTGAGTTTATTGATTTCCGATAGTAAATTGATTAAATAGACACCCCAACGGTGGCAGTCCCCCCACCCTCTCGCGCGGCTACCAAATATTTGACTAGGTTAAATTATAAATCAACTCGGGGACAAGCACAAAGGGAGGGAACCCAAATACACGAACAAGAACTTTGCGAACACATGAGATTGAGAGGAAGACAATGAAGTTCGAAGGGCAGAAATTCGCGAGTGGGTTAAGTACATTACAGCGAGTTGATTGAAAAAAAATGGGTGGTTGGCCTTAGAACAATCAAGTTGGTAGGACAGTATATTTTGTACCATTTGACGTAGTCTAGACAATGCTGAGTTTTATTTATTTATACGTTGGACTACAGTTGATTGGAGATGAATTAACAATTACTTAACCGCGAAATGTAAATCTCTAGAATTTGTTTGGTACATACTAAATCCCCAGTTGTTTAATGCGTGTAAATAAAGCTCTAGAAACTCTTATAGACCAACGTAAATCCGTTAAAACATTTTTTAAAGTACACTTTGTTTGGTACATACTTAAGGGCCAGTTTTTAATGCGGGAAATAAAGGTCAAGAAACTTTTATAGACCAACGTAAATCCGTTAAAACATTTTTTTAAAGTACACTTTGTTTGGTACATACTTAAGTGCCAGATTTTAATGCGGGTAAATAAAGGTCTTGGAAACTAACAGACTAACATTAATCCGTTAAAACATTTTTTAAAGCTTTTCTTCGAGGTGAACCGGTACATGTTTTAGAGGGCGGAGTGGGGTCAAACAATGTAACAGCGTTGGACGTTTCTACTGGTAATATCAAATCTTTCAATTATTGTCCCACATGAGAGCCTCCATTGTCTGTCACCTGTGTGAGCCTTTGTCTATATATGCAACATATATATATATGCTTCTTAGATCTTTGTAAGATGTGGATATATGTCTCTTTCGTCTATGTAAGATTCAGATATATGTAGCCAGGGTCTATTTAAGGTCGAGATATCTGTCCCCTTTTTTAATGTAATCTGCAGATATCTATGATCACTCGCTATGTAAGCACAAGATATATGTACTTTGTGCAAGTTATATCTTATATCTATGTAAGTTTCCGATATGTCTCCTAGGTATATGTAAGCTGCATGTATCTGCGACCTCTCTCTATGTAAGTTCCATCTATCTGTGACCTGTAAGTTCCATCTATCTGTCCCCTAGGTCTATGTGAATTGCAGATATCTGCGACCTCTCTCTATGTAAGTTCCATCTATCTGTCCCCTAGGTCTATGTGAGCTGCATATATTTGTACTTTATGTAAGTTCCTTCTATCTGTCCCCTAGGTCTATGTGAGCTGCAGATATAAGTCTATGTCATCTCTGCCCCATCTATTCCCGGTCTGATTCATCACGCCAAACACACTTGAAGCCAAAGTGGGTGAATCCGTTGATTGGGCAGTCAATGAAATGTTGCATTGTCGCCTGAGTTGATTGGGCAGTCAATGAAATGTTGCATTGTCACCTGAGTTGATTGGGCAGTCAATGAAATGTTGCATTGTCACCTGAGTTGATTGGGCAGTCAATGAAATGTTGCATTGTCACCTGAGTTGATTGGGCAGTCAATGAAATGTTGCATTGTCACCTGAGTTGATTGGGCAGTCAATGAAATGTTGCATTGTCACCTGAGTTGATTGGGCAGTCAATGAAATGTTGCATTGTCACCTGAGTTGATTGGGCAGTCAATGAAATGTTGCATTGTCACCTGAGTTGATTGGGCAGTCAATGAAATGTTGCATTGTCACCTGAGTTGATTAGGCAGTCAATGAAATGTTGCATTGTCACAAGATACGTCTAATGTCAATCCTGGCTTACAACGTTTAAAAAAACTCAAGCCATTCCATGAGACGAGATCCTATAATCATCGACTAATGATGACCCTCTTTTTATTTGTCTGAACTTTTACAAAAAAACAAAACATGGAATTACATCAATCATAGATGCGTGTGAGTTAACGCCATTCTGTTTTTCTCACAGCACTTGAAACATCGTGCGTGTATGATCTGACCTGTATCATCCTGGATAGCCTACTTTCTGTTCTAAGAACATTTACTAGTTTTAGTGGAATACATCGCCTTCGACTGTACTAAGCCAAGCTATTTTTTTCTCACTGCGGAATTACAGATTAGATTTTTGATTCCTCACGACTTTATTATAGAACTTATATTGTAACCCCGACCCCTCCCCAAAAACTGACCCCCCCCCCCCTACATATCCTGTAGCACATCTAAAAACCACGGTTAACCCTACGATACACAGGCCTTCTGGTTAACCCTACGATACACAGGCCTCCTGGTTAAACCTACGATACACAGACTTCCTGGTTAAACCTACGATACACAGGCTCCTGGTTAACCCTACGATACACAGGCCTCCTGGTTAACCCTACGATACACAGGCTCCTGGTTAACCCTACGATACACAGGCCTCCTGGTTAACCCTACGATACACAGGCCTCCTGGTTAACCCTACGATACACAGGCCTCCTGGTAAACCCTACGATACACAGGCCTCCATGTTAAACCGAACCAAAAAGTTTATCCGATACATTCATCCTCTTTGTCGTCATTCAATCTTAATCTAATCAGGCAGAGATACAATTCCAGCAACACACTCGAGTTTAGATACAGTTTCAAAGAAAATTGATCTGATTCATTTATGTTTGTTTTATTTTATTTTTCCGAAATTAAAATCCACCGGCTTAGATTTCGTTAATTTTCTTTTAGTTATTTTTATATATTTTAAAATTTTTATTTAGTTTGAAATTTTTTTTTTCACGTTACAGTAAAAAAATGTTTAGTTAAGGACACAACAGAATGTGCGTCGGCGTGAAAGACACTTATAAATACCTGTAGGTTTATGGCAGCGATCTCGGCGCCGTGAGGCAGCAGGTGGCTGAACGGTCGGTGCAAGCTAATCCAGGAGACTCGCAGTCGGCCGGACAACGTGAGCACTTATAGGCTGGCGGGGAGAGCGCGCGTGCGGGAGTCGCACTCCACACCGCGTGAGTCTCGTGTCGCCATCGATTCGGCTCTGGGCACACGCCGCTGTGGTACCTACTGGGGCATTGGGCACCTACTGGGGCATTGGGTACTGGGGCATTGGGCACCTACTGGGGCATTGGTCACCTACTGGGGCATTGGGTTCCTAGTGTGGCATTGGGCACCTACTGGGGCATAGGGTACCAACTGGGGTATTGGGTACTGGGGCATTGGGCACCTACTGGGGTATTGGGCTCCTAGTGTGGCATTGGGCACCTACTGGGGCATAGGGTACCTACTGGGGTATTGGGCACCTACTCGGCCACTCTGGTACTTACTGGGGCATTGGGCACCTACTGGGGCTTTGGACACCTACTGGGGCATTGGGTACCTAGTGGGGCACTGAGCCCCTACTGGGGCATTGGGTATCTTCTGGGCCACTCTGGTACCTACTGAGGCATACGTCGCTGTGTTATTCAAGTAATTTCTGTAGGCTTGTCAAATAGTTTTTTTAAAGCAGCATATATTTTGGAGTATACTAGTTTGGTATTTGTACTCCACCTGATTCTATAAAACTAAGTAGTTTCTGTGGTCCAGCTAGTTCAGTGGTCCAACTAGTTTCTGTGGTCCAGCTAGTTCAGTGGTCCAACTAGTTTCTGTGGTCCAGCTAGTTCAGTGGTCCAACTAGTTTCTGTGATCCAGCTAGTTCTGTGGTCCAACTAGTTTCTGTGATCCAGCTAGTTCAGTGGTCCAACTAGTTTCTGTGGTCCACATAGTTCAGTGGTCCAACTAGTTTCTGTGGTCCACATAGTTCAGTGGTCCAACTAGTTTCTGTGGTCCACATAGTTTCCCGTAAATAACAGGAAACCTCCTCTCCTACCCACTGCCATTTTACACGGCCATGTTTGAAATCAGACTTACGTTTGTGTGTACATGTGAAGGATTTCTCAGTCTTATGTCTTTGTGTACATGTGGAGGACTTCTCAATGAAAACAAAAATGTTTTGACAAAGCGATATTCCGGTTAGGTCAAGATGACCTACATTAAGAAGCGATTTGATTTCTTTCAATTTTTTTTACTTGACATCAAGGACAGGAGCTTGAGTTTTAAAGCCAGAAACATGAGGTCGTCATTTTAATCCCTAAAATCATGGGGTCGTCATTTTAATCTCTCATGGGGTCGTCATTTTAATCTATAAAATCATGGGGTCGTCATTTTAACCTCTAAAATCATGGGGTCGTCAGTTTAATCTCTCATGGGGTCGTCATTTTAATCTCTCATGGGGTCGTCATTTTAATCTCTCATGGGGTCGTCATTTTAATCTATAAAATCATGGGGTCGTCATTTTAATCTCTCATGGGGTCGTCATTTTAACCTCTAAAATCATGGGGTCGTCATTTTAACCTCTAAAATCATGGGGTCGTCATCGTAATCTCTAAATCGTAACCCACCCCCTCCCCCCGAACGAAATTGAATTTATATTGAAAATATATACTTTTAACAGTGACCGCCCCCCCCCCTCCGGAAAATATTGTCCCTTGCCCCCCCCCCCCCCCCCCCGGAGAAAAAAGTCTGGAAGAAACACTGGTTGGATATCTTTTTTTACATAGTCTGCGACATGAAGGAATTCACGAAAGGTGCGTCATTACTGTAGCGTGGTTTACTGGTAATTGAACGTGAGATGGGATTGTATTGACAGAGGTTAATGCCCTAGAACCATTCCAATCATACCCATGCATTTTATTTAGAATACGCTGGTAGGTTAGCAAAGTTTGAGATAATTAAACGAATTTAATTTAAAACAAAAAAAACAACTTTCCTAGAACATGTTGAAAACTGACATCAGTATCATATGTGTATTTTTTTATTCTTCAAACGTAAGGCTTAGTTGTATCAATTTAAAAATGTGTACGTAGGTATGGATGTATTGTTGAACAGTGGACCAGTACCCCTGGTCTTTTTTCATCTAATTTTAAAAATTTGGTCTTTTTTTTTAAATCCTTAATTTAACGTATTTTTAATACTTTTTCATTAGACTAAACAATATACTTTACGCAAGCTAATACAATTGTAATTACTCTGATGAAACCTTCTGTAAAACCAAGTTCTATGGAGACCTGCTAATGCGAATACGTGTACAGCCCTGGTCCCATTACAACTTAATATCCCATCCGACGCCATCAAAGCAATGATTTGAGAACCACCCGTATGACCCGGTTAAGCGCGCAAATTAAGGCCGAAAATCTTGAAGACAACGGGTAGAATGCAAATAGTTTTAAAACCACGGGGGACAACTGATGAAGACAAGCTATTTTGTTGAGCTGTCGGCGTTCATTAGTGCGGCCAGTCTGAGATAGGATTATTTGTTATGTTGGATGTCAACCCGGTACAGCCTGTTACAGATAGGTACGTGCTTTCTCTCTCGGTACGGTTTGTGTGGTACAGCTGGGAATTGTACGGTCTATGTGGTACAGCTGGGAATTGTATGGTCTGTGTGGTACAGCTGGGAATTGTACGGTCTATGTGGTACAGCTGGCAATTTTATGGTCTGTGTGGTACAGCTGGGAATTGTACGGTCTATGTGGTACAGCTGGGAATTGTACGGTCTGTGTGGTACAGCTGGGAATTGTACGGTCTATGTGGTACAGCTGGGAATTGTACGGTCTATGTGGTACAACTGGGATTGTATGGTATATGTGGTACAGCTGGAAATTGTATGGTATATGTGGTACAGCTGGGAATTGTATGGTCTATGTGGTACAGCTGGGAATTGTATGGTCTGTGTGGTACAGCTGGGAATTGTACGGTCTATGTGGTACAGCTGGGAATTGTATGGTCTGTGTGGTACAGCTGGGAATTGTATGGTCTATGTGGTACAGCTGGGAATTGTATGGTCTGTGTGGTACAGCTGGGAATTGTATGGTCTATGTGGTACAGCTGGGAATTGTATGGTCTGTGTGGTACAGCTGGGAATTGTATGGTCTATGTGGTACAGCTGGGAATTGTACGGTCTATGTGGTACAGCTGGGATTGTATGGTATATGTGGTACAGCTGGAAATTGTATGGTATATGTGGTACAGCTGGGAATTGTATGGTCTATGTGGTACAGCTGGGAATTATACGGTCTATGTGGTACAGGTGGGAATTGTATGGTCTATGTGGTACAGCTGGGAATTGTATGGTCTGTGTGGTACAGCTGGGAATTGTACGGTCTATATGGTACAGCTGGGAATTGTACGGTCTATGTGGTACAGCTGGGAATTGTATGGTCTGTGTGGTACAGCTGGGAATTGTACGGTCTATATGGTACAGCTGGGAATTGTACGGTCTATGTGGTACAGCTGGAATTGTATGGTATATGTGGTACAGCTGGAAATTGTATGGTATATGTGGTACAGCTGGGAATTGTACGGTCTATGTGGTACAGCTGGGAATTGTACGGTCTATGTGGTACAGCTGGGAATTATACGGTCTATGTGGTACAGCTGGGAATTGTACGGTCTATGTGGTACAGCTTGGAATTGTATGGTCTGTGTGGTACAGCTGGGAATTGTACGGTCTGTGTGGTACAGCTGGGAATTGTACGGTCTATGTGGTACAGCTGGGAATTGTACGGTCTATGTGGTACAGCTTGGAATTGTATGGTCTGTGTGGTACAGCTGGGAATTGTACGGTCTGTGTGGTACAGCTGGGAATTGTACGGTCTATGTGGTACAGCTGGGAATAGTACGGTCTGTGTGGTACAGCTGGGATTGTATGGTATATGTGGTACAGCTGGAAATTGTATGGTATATGTGGTACAGCTGGAATTGTATGGTATATGTGGTACAGCTGGAAATTGTATGGTATATGTGGTACAGCTGGGAATTGTACGGTCTATGTGGTACAGCTGGGAATTGTACGGTCTATGTGGTACAGCTGGGAATTATACGGTCTATGTGGTACAGCTGGGAATTGTACGGTCTATGTGGTACAGCTTGGAATTGTATGGTCTGTGTGGTACAGCTGGGAATTGTACGGTCTGTGTGGTACAGCTGGGAATTGTACGGTCTATGTGGTACAGCTGGGAATTGTACGGTCTATGTGGTACAGCTTGGAATTGTATGGTCTGTGTGGTACAGCTGGGAATTGTACGGTCTGTGTGGTACAGCTGGGAATTGTACGGTCTATGTGGTACAGCTGGGAATAGTACGGTCTGTGTGGTACAGCTGGGATTGTATGGTATATGTGGTACAGCTGGAAATTGTATGGTATATGTGGTACAGCTGGGAATTGTACGGTCTGTGTGGTACAGCTGGGATTGTGCGGTTTGTTGGTACAGCTGGGATTGTACGATTTGTTGGTACAGCTGGAATTGTACGGTCTATGTGGTACAGCTGGGAATTGTACGGTCTCTTGGTACAGCTGGGATTGTGCGGTTTGTGTGGTACAGCTGGGAATTGGATGGTCTGTTGGTACAGCTGGGAATTGTTCCGTATATGTGGTACAGCTGGGAATCGTCTACTTTAGGGATGGTAAAACTTGTGAGGTTTGGGATCACGGCAGTGTTGGGGGTTTGTTTTCACGACGCAGTTGGTGGTTGTATTCAAGGTATAGTGTGGGTCAGTGTGTGTGGATGGGGGGGTGGACACGGTACTATGTGGAGGCTTCTGGTTTCGGTACAGTTGGGGGCTTGTGATTTCGGTACAGTTGGTGGCTTGTGATTTTGGTACAGTTGGTGGCTTATGATTTCGGTACAGTTGGTGGCTTATGATTTCGGTACAGTTGGTGGCTTGTGATTTCGGGACAGTTGTGGGCTTGTGATTTCGGTACAGTTAAGGCTGATGTCAGTCATGAGTGGAACGATATCATCAACTGTAGCTTGAACTATTGCCATGGTTAAGAAAAAAAATGTACTACTAATTAAGAACATTATCAACGTACCTCAAGTATTGACTTAAGCTCAGTCTACTGGTTCCAGTCAA